TCAATGAGCTACTGTAATAATTATCCTGAAAAAGACATTTAATATAAACATTTATTCTTATTGCTGCAGTTATTCAAGCTTATTTGATACAAATTGCCTATAAATGAAAATAAATTAGTTCACAACAGATGCTGTATATTGGAAAACAGTTAAAAGAAGGATAAACTTTAATTGAGGGCTAATATGTGGAATAACACTATCCATATTGTATACAGGTTGAATAAAACAAAACTCTGGCAAAGGTAGATGGGCTTGAAAGACTATAAAAGGGTGAACCAACTAAAAAAAAAGAGGGAACTTATATTCATTAAGTTGATATCTCAGTTTCACATCAGGACCAAGAAATAGATAAAAAGTTAAACAAGGACAAACAAGGGATCCAGAAGAGCACAGACAATAAAGAGAAAAGGACAGCGACAAGATCCTAGTAAAAGGGAAGTGATTTCCTAGTTCCATCTCTAAAACTACCATTTGCCTTTTTCACTTGCACTTGGAAATGCAGTGTTATCTGCTTTTGATTTCATATTCAATCACTAAGATCCCTCCAATACTATCTAATACTCCCCTCAAGCAACCACTGCCCCTTATTCTTACTATTCTTATTAGGACTCTCAGCCTCCTCTCAAACATAAATGGTTCCAGCTTCCTGAAGAATTTTCTATAAAATCCACATTCATAATGCATAGAACTGAACACTTGCTCCCTTGATGTTTTCTTCCACCTTAACTTTTCTAAGCTTCAAATAAGCCTTTCCACCTTATCTAAATTAGTCTACAGTAGTCCCCTCTTAGCCTTGGGGGATAAAACCAAGACCTCTGGGTATGCTGAAACTGTGGCTAGTACCAAACCCTACATATGTTTTATTAATTTCATAATTGAGACAGGTACTCACAGGAGGTGGTGGGGGAGTGTCTACAGGATGGATATGCTGGACAAAGGAATGATCCATGCCCCCACCAGGACAGAGCAGGACAGCAGGAGATTTCATCATACAATTTACAACTTATGAACTGTTTATTTCTGGAATTTTGCATTTAATATTTTTGGACCATGTTTGACTGTAACTGATATCACAGACAGTGAAACCAAGGAGAGACTAGTGTATTTTCCATTGCTAACTCTGTTTCTTTCAAGGTCAGCTGCATTTCTTTACTAAACCTCATCTGTTATCTTTCAAGCTGAAAGGACATAACAAGGAGTCAATATACCTAATGTGTAGCCACTTTAACACTGCCTAGTTTTGTCATGTCTTTCTAGGAGTTCACTTTACCCTCAAATCACTAGCCAGCGATTCCTCAGATTCCTCAGAGGTAGCTACTGATAATTGTTTTACAACCCTTCCCCAGCTTGTTTTGTACTCATTAGTTTTTCTATTTCAAGTATTTGCCACCACCCATAACCATCAAGCTAACCTAATCAGTCCTTCATGACCTTCATGACACAGGCCCCATCAACATGGCATGTGACTAACCCACCCATCCGCCTGCTGTCCATCACCTGATTTCAGTACTTGTGCTCACTGCCCCTCCACGACAATGTGGAGCAGATCACCACCCAATCACCTTGACGACCAGCCCCCATCATCTAAGGGAAGGTTTAATATGGCTGCCACGTTTTCTAAGCTTTGTATCCCTCCCCTAACTTGGGGAGATCAATCTCCCTTCACTCTCTAGTTTACTTTCTAGTCATTGTTTTGCTAAGCACTGGCCAGGTCATGGATTCTTTGAGCTATGGCCAGGCCATGTTTTCCTAAGCTTTGGCCCCTTTCCCTAACTTGGGGAGGTGAATCAATCAATCTTTCTCTCTTATTTACTTTCTAAACAAACTGTATCTTTCAATCTCCCATCTGTGCAATTCTTCATATCCTGCACACGGGGCACTGGATCGCAAACCAGATACCCCCTGGTGGGTCTGACCTAATTTTTTGGAGGCCCTACTGGCCTAACATAAGCTCTACCCTAAAACTTAATAACTTGAGAAAACTCTTCCAGGTAAATCTAACAGCCACTCAGTCACTCTTTTTCTCAAAATGTGTATGTGATTTTTTAACTGTTATTTTTTACTTTTATAAAGCCGTCATGCCACTTCAAGAACATGAACCATGCTTCTTTCATTATACTCTCAGTACCCTTCAGGACACGAGCTCTCACTTCCTGTTTCTTCCACCCTTGCTGAGTTGAGCACAACTCTACCCACAGTAGGTGTACAATAAATACTTAAATCTAATGACTCAGTAACAGAATGTAATCAGTCAATGAATAGCTACTACACGCCAGGCACTGAGAACTCAAAAATTATTTTTAAAAGCCTGAGCCGAAGTGGGTAAGGAAGCCATCCAAGAGAGGGCAGTAAAGAATAGAAGATCAGTTACACACAGGCAGGTTGACCAAATAAGTAAACATCTTCAAGATAATGGTAGCCAGGTTTCTCACTGAAAGAAAGGAGTCAGAAATTTGAAATTTCAAAACTAGACTAAAACCCTTGGGTACAGAATTGGAATAGAAGGCATTAATATGAACTCAGGGCTTTCAGATTATGTCTGTGTTTATGTGTACATGCAAGTATATGCATGTGTGTGTGTGTCTGTATGTATTCATGTATATAAATATTTTCTATAGCTCTGCTCACAGAGAGAACTTGGGAGCAGTGATACCACAAAAGCAATTAATACAACTAGGACCTAGGCTTATACATAAATATTATTTTCCATCAAAAGGAATTAGAAAGCCCTGAAGAAATGACTGATTCCAACCATGGAATAAAATACATGCAAAGATAAGCTGGGAAATCCTGTTGTGCCAGAAAGCAGAGATGTCCTCAAAGAATGCTGGGGATATACCAAAAATACACATTATTTGTTCAAAAGGCCAAATCAGGAAAATTTTGAGCATGGAAACAAAAAATGATAGTAACAGATTAAAATCCACTGGGCTAAGCTCAGTGGCTCAGTCTATAATACCAGCACTTTGGGAGGCCAAGGCAAGTGAAATTGCCTGAGCCCGTGGGTTCGAGACCAGCCCGGGCAACTTGGTGAGAACTTGTCTTTACAATATATCAAAAATTAGCTGGATGTGATAGTGCACACCTGTAGTTCCGGCTACCTGGAAGGCTGAGGTGGAAGGATTGCCAGAGTCCAGCGGGTCAACGCTGGGGTGACCATGAGTGTGCCACTGCACTCCAGCCTGGGCAACAGAGTGAGACTCTAACTCAAAAAAAAAAAAAAAAAGCCCACTGAATTAAAATCATAAGTTCAATACATATACATTTAAAAATGAAAAACATGTGATAAACGGAATAGTAACAGAGTTTCAAAATACAGTACCAAAAAATTCTTAATTACAAAAAGGGAAAAGACTATACAATGGAGAAATTTGGCAGATTTCATCATAATTCAGTGATCTTAAATAACAGGACAAATTAAAACTGCATACTACAACAGGATGCAACGAGATGAATACAGTATCCAAGATCTTCTTGCCAAAGATGCATGCCTGAATATAAACATGAAGAGAGGTAGACAAACTCAGACTGAGGACAGTCATTCTCAAAAGCGTCAAGACATAGAAGTCAAGGAAAATCAGAAGTAAGTAGAAAATTCATTTAAGATGAAGAAGGGTAACATGGAGGAAGAAGTGACTGGTTTCATAGCAATGTAAGTCAATAAGCAGGAGAAAGAGCTACAGTAAAATTTCTAGAAGTAACTGTCTGAATTTATAGCTGACTACTATTATGTTTGTATTTTTATACTCATACAATGCTAAGAACTAGGAGTTCTTAAATTTTTTTTGTGCCCTAATCCCCTTGGCAAGTCTAATGAGACCTATGGACTCCTTCTCATAATAGTTTTAAATACATAAAGCAAAATAAATATTACAAGGAAAACCTATTACATTAAAATACAATTATCAAAGTGTTAAAAACATATTTGCAACATAGCAGTATATGCGATTTCTTTCAAGATTATGCTTTTCAAAACATACACATGCTCCCTTGAAAAGATTAAGACTAGAGAAGAATCTAATAACCATAGTGGTGAAGTATGAATAAGCATAAATGGCATTTCAGGGTATCCAAAGCAACTGTAACATCTAAAGGGTAGCTAAAGCAACTGTGGATAATCAGTTAAGAATACCTGAATTAAAACTTAAAAGGAGGCATACATATCAGTGAGAATGACAGTCTTTATGTTCATGTCCATTATTGTTTGGCAGACACTTTAAGAGTAGAGAATGCATATGACACTTGTCTAAATTACCATATTTGTAAAGAATTGGAGTTCCAATTAATGTTTTACTGTTCTTAAAACTGCTATCCTGATACATATAACAGAAATGGCAATAAATTGACAATTTGATAAACCATTAATACCTAACAACAAAAATCATGAAGGTTCTATAAAATGAGACTATTCTAACCCATATGCACAAAACTATAAAATGCTAAACTCTGACATTATGATTAAGAATTATGACTCTGAATTATCTCTGAACCTATAACTGATCAAATATTTATACAAGGAATTTTAGAAGAAAACGTTATCTATTTAGAAGAATATCTGGCAGATGTGGTTAACTTTTCAAATGGATATTAAATTAGTCGTTATATATAATCAGAAGGTTATTGTACAGTCATCTGATGTGTGAAGACATCAAGTAACATTTCTTATGAAATATGAATTCTGACTCTAAGTTCTAACTTCGATATTATCTAAATACAATATTTCCTACTTTGCTTATTCTGGGGTTAAAAAAAACGATTATAATCACTAAAAACATTCAAAGTATAAGAATATTTTTATACAAATCTCATCCAAGTATCAACATGAAAAGAATCAAGAATAAGATCACAATTTGGAAAAAATATTAGATATGCTAACTTAATATAATTCTAAATATATTCTTGGCTGACAAAATGTTCACACCTTTTTTATGCTTAACTATTCTAATCAGGTATAATAGTATACTACAATACAATAAAAGAAAAAATCAATTGTATCCTACCTCGTTACTTTGCAACTTGATTCAATTAACTCATTTTCAAAGTCAAGTAGGCTGGAAGGCAGATTATAATCCAATGGGGATGTCAATCTTTTCAAACGCAAAAGACCAACACAAAATTTTGCTCCCATCTCTTCCAATTCCCGAGTACCAATCTGTAAACCCTAGAAATAAAGAAATATTATACATAATTAGAAAGATTGTTATCTTCTGGCTGCATCTCATTAAAGTAATATAAAAATAATTTATAACTATATTAATAAAAGGTTGATACTTTTTAATTACAACATATGATTATTCTAGGTCACAAAGAAAATTAACTGTCCTAAAAGACCACTTCTAAAATGCCCATTCCCTTTTACTATGACGTAAACTATTTTTACCATCACACTAAAGAGAAAATTAATAGATGAACATTTTGTGGTTAATGGTACTCTTGGAGGTCATGTATGAAACCATAAGTTAGTAAGATATGACTAGTATTTCTTGTAATTCACTACTTTGTGTGTCAACATTGAACTATCAGTGTTTAAATCAAGGCTCCAGTATATACACTTGAATATTACCTTATAGATGCTGTCACTGTATAAGATAAATTGATCAGTAAAAAACAAACGAAAGGTAACTGTCAAAAGAATCAAACAAACATAGGCCAATAAAGTAGTAGTAAAAAAAAAAAAAAAGTCCTTATGTTCCATTTCAATTAAGAATGTCCATTTCAGCCAGACTTGGTGGCTCAGCCTGTAATCCCGCACTTTGGGAGGCAGAGGTGAGTGGATTGCTTGAGCCTGCGGGTTCGAGACCTGCCTGGGCAACTTGGCGAGACCTCATCTCTACAATACATCAAAATTAGCCAGGCGTGGTAGTGCGCGCCTGTAGTTCCAGCTACTCGGAAGGCTGAGGCGGAAGGATCGCCGGAGCCCAGCAGGTTGAGGCAGCAGTGGCCGGAAGCGTGCCACTGCACTCCAGTCTGGACAACAGAGTGAGACTCCAACTCAAAAAAAAAAGAATGTCCATTTCAAATTTGAATACTCAACTCCTTACCCTTTTACAGCCACCAGTTTCCTATAAGCAACATAATGTTTACCAAAAGTTAAATTTTACCACATAAAACCATAAATATGGATTACAAATGAAGTCCTTATGTTCCATTTCAATTAAGGGTGAAGACCTGTTTCCTAAAATATTAGACTCACACATAGTGAATAAGTTTAAAATGTGTACATTATATGGGGGGAGAGTGGTGATAGGGAGTACACATGATCTCTCTGTACTTTTCACTCAGTTTTGCTGTGAACCTAAAGCTGCTCTAAAAAAATAAATAAAGTCTGGCTGGGCATGGTGGCTCTGTAATCCCAACACTTTGGGAGGCCAAGGCAGGAGGGTCACTTGAGGCTAGGTGATCAGCCTGGGCAACAAAGCGACATCACTACTAAAACTAAGTATTTTTAAAAAGTAAAAATAAAGTCTATTAACTTTCTTTAAAAAAGTATGTCATGAGCAGGGGAAGGTGGCGGCAGAGCCAGTCAGACTACGCGAGTCCCTGTGTGAGTGAGTGAGTGAGTATATGGGCACTCGGTATACACGTCTGTGAGTGAGCCCGCGTGTGAGTGGCTGACTGAGTGGAGACTCGGGAGCAAGTGGCCAGGCTCCCTCCTGCTGAAGCAGCTGGTGTTACAGCTGCTCCATTTGGACCTCGGTGCTTCCCGGGCACAGAAGCCAAGGGCCATTTTTAAAAATCAACAAAGCCCTTCCAGGAAGAAGCTGCAGAAAGTAACTGCCTGCTCCAGGCTCTGCTTCACTACTGCAGTGCCTGGCCAGACACTGCCAGCAAGGGCCATGGAGGGAGTACAGTGAGGGAGCCATAGGCAGAGACCCGCTGGAGAAGATGAAACAGGCACCCTGCTACTATGTTGAAAACTGTGCAGGAAAGTGCTCTGGTGCTCCCACCAAGAGCAACAGACCCGTTCTCTGTGATCAGTGGGTTAACTACTCTGGGGTCGATTATGACCCCGAGGGAATATCCTAAAAGCACAAACTTCAGAGGGATAGGACAAGTGCAGAGTCTTAAAAGCCCAACCTCCTACCCTGATTCAACCATGGGACAAAAGGTGCAACCTGAAAAGGACGAGGAAGACCCCACCCCCAAGAGATCAGTGGTGAGTCCTGGGCTGACCTAACTTCCTCCTCCCCAGCAATCCTTTGAATGTCAGACCCACACAGCTGGGACAAGACTGAGAGGGATGAACCCCAGGTGAAGCCTGGACATCAGCCACTAGGAGGACTCTACTCCAGGATAAGTCTAGCTGGGCACTCCCTTCCAGCACCTGGGGAGGACACAACCCCACATCTCCCCGCCAAGGGGAACCCCCTGACCACATGAAAGTGGGAGGGGAGGACTGATGCCCCACCCACCCCTACCATCCCCTATTCCCCACCATGGGCCATGTTCTGGGGAGATTGTGAACAAGGCTGCAGCCCTGCAGGAAACAGAAGACAGACTTACCTGTGAGCAGCTCAGAGGAACAATTACAGAACCTCCCACAAGAGGGCGTTTAGAGCTCAGCAATTTTAAAAAAAATTTTTGTGTGTGAGTATGTATATGAGGGTTCAATTTGCACCCCGTCTTTTTTTATATTTTTTCTTTCCTCTTTCGTTTTTTTGGTTCTGTGTATATGTAAATGATTGTTCATCTTTCAGTTTTTCTTTTTTGTTCTTCTCTTATTTAAGTTTAATGCTTGTGTGAGGGTTTGATCTGCATCCCCCCTTTTTCCTTTCCTTTTCTTTTTCTTTTTTTTTTCTTCTTTGGTTTGTTGGTGTGGTGTGTGTGTGTGTGTTCGGTTTTCCTTTTTTTGTTTTTGTGGGGTTTTTTCCTGTTTGTTTTGGTTTTTGTTTGTTGCTATGTGTTTCACTGTTTTTTTGCTTTTGTTTTTATGATTTTTAAAAATTTTTATTATTTCTGTCCATTCTATTTCATTCTACTTTTCTCTGTTCTCCTCTCTGCTGTTGCTCAGGGGATACATACATGTAACCATTGTAGAGAGGTGGTGGGGAATGGGCCTTAGGGAGCCTATACCCCAAGCAGTGAACACTGTTATTTGCAAGTAGTTTCTGAATTCCCATCCTCCACCTTACTCAACTCTCAAAACTACAACAGACAGCAAAGCACCCCACCTCACGGTGCTGTTTCAAAATAGAATAAATTCAGACCCCCTGATCTGGAAAGAATAGAAGAGTGAGAAAACATCAGAAGTGTAAGCCCCACCCCCACCCCCAACTGGCACTGAATAACAAAACTAAAGAGAAAAGAAAGAGATCTGTCACAAAAGAGGAAAAATCAATGGAAAAACACAGGTAATTATCAGTGTACCAAAGAGACAATGCCTGAAAAATCAGACCTCAGAGACCAATCAATGGAAATCACCAACAACTGGTCCCAGTATACAACAGGAATTAGGGAATGTATGGAAGAGTGAATAAGACCCAAGAAAGACAAGATACAACACTGAAAGAACTAGTAACAGAGATTTTGGCCATAAGAAAATTCACCTAGGCAATAAATAACAAGATGACAAGCATGGAAAGAAGAATTAATCGAGCAGAAGAAAGAATCTCAGAGTTTAAAGATCAAAACGTGGTATTAACCTGATCTATAAAAAACACAGAAAACTCAGAAAGAAAGAACAAAGCCTCCAAGAGATATGTGATTATATCAAGAGACCACATTTATGCCTGATCAGTATCCCATAAGGAGAAAGGGAAACAGAGAACACTCTAAGTATTCTAGGAGGTTATCCAAGAAAACTCTACCAAGGTCACCAGAGATGTGACCATCCAAACACAAAAGATACAGAGAGCCCTCACAAAATGTCAAATAAGAAGACCAACCTCTAGATACACAGTATGTGTCGCCTACACAAAGTAGGTACAAAAGAAAAAATCCTAAAGGCAGTGAGAGAGAAAGAGAAAGGTCAGACCACCTACCAGGGAAGACCAATCAGAATAGCAGCAGACCTACTGGAAGAAACACTACAAGCAAGAAGGGACTGGAGCCCAATTTTCGAAGTCCTCAAAGATAAACAATTTCAACCAAGAATTTCCTACCAACCAAGTTCAGCTTCATCAGTGATGGAGAATTAAAATCCTTCCCAGACATCCAATCCCTAAGAGGTTATGCAGCTTCCAGACCAGCTCTACAGGAGACATTTAAAAAGGCATTAAACACAGAAGAAAAAAAAAGAATGACCACACACTTCTTAAGAGAACAGGAGAACACAGAATCAACAGAAAATACATCGTGACTGCAAACTTGAAAACACACACACACATTAACCCAAAAGTTAAAAGAAAACAAAGAAAAACACTTTATAAGAATCTCATGACAGGGATAAACACTTACATTTCAATAACCAGCCTGAACACTAATGGACTAAATGTACCATGGAAAAGGCATAGAATGGCAAATGGATAAAAACAAAACAAAACAAAAAACACAACCCAATAATTTCAGGCATCCATAAAACATATCTCACCACAAAGTATGCCCACAGACTCAAAGTTAGAGGATTGATAATGAGTTTCCAGGCAAATGGATCACAAAAGAAGGTGGAGTCACGATCTTAACACACACGTGACCAGCAAATTTTTCACTTTCCTAATACTGAGAGCAGGTAAAAATCAAAAAAGTCAGAAGCTGGTAAATGCAAACTTCTGTCATTAAGCACAAGTGAAATGGTCTTCTAAATTGTCACCTTTCAGGCACTACTGCTAAAAGCTGCAGACATATGCAGCATTTGCCTCAGACACCACTCTGACTAGCATTCTGTACTTTGTATTTTTATTCAGATTATACCCGAAAAGGCAATCTTCCACAATCAGGTAAATTCACGTCAGTGGCAACCAGGAACAGAATCTGGAATGATGTAAATTCACATCAGTGGTCACGAATGAGTTAATATCAGACAAAACAACCTTTAAGCTATCAGAATTAAAAAAGATGCAGAAGGATACTACATTATGATAAAAGGTTCAATCCACCAACAAGAAATATCCATCCTACAAATATATGCACCCAAGAGGACCAGTGTTTATAAAGCAACTACGAAGTAAACTCAAAAAAGATATTGACTCTAACACTATCATAGCTGGGGACTTCTACCCCAAT